GGCTCTTTTCTCTATCTAATTCAATACTATAATTTTGTGCCCGCTTTTACTAGCTTTAGTTCTACCCCCTGTATCAATATTGATGCTGTGACTAGTTCCACGTTCTCATGCTAATACTAGGGATGTTAGCTATTGAATATTGCCTGTTGCTACAATAAATCGGGGTCGATTCTTGTGGCTGGTCACATACAGAAGCTCTTTCATCTTAGTGAACTATCGGCCGAATAAGTTCGTTCAGCATAACAGCAATTGGACAGGATCACCTACCGTTGTTCTGGAATTGGATGACACTGCACTGTATACCAACTGTGACTGGGAGTGAATTGCAGTGACAGCCCGCCACCTCTCAGTCCAGTGATCGGCCAATTGATTGCTTTCACGCTAACATTAGCGCCCGCTCTTAGCGCGGCTGGCATTATCTTCGCTTTCAGTGCTAATCTTGCAATAAAAGCATCGACACCTTGATTCCATTGCTATCAACTCCACGGTCCCTAGTCCGCATTGCGGAAACCCTCCAAGAGCTAACTTATCGTGAAAGGTGCTGGTATATTGCGGAGTGTCGGTAGTATTGATATAGAACAAGTAGGCCTGTTCTAAGATCCCCATGCCAAGGACCGTCCGTCATTGATGTATTAGAGAAGAGGCTGCGTGGCATTGGGCTCCAGATCATCTCCTAGCAATCTTTCTACACCTTAGAAAGAGATTGTATTGTGATTAAAGCGCAGGTCAGTATGCAGGCTTTTCGTGCCTTTCCCCCTCCTCGTGTCTGTTCTGTTGTTATTTTCCTTCCTTCTTGTTTCCCCTCCTTCCTATTTCTTCCACCCGCCGTACCTGGTAAGCTTGGAAGATCAGGCGTGTATTCCTTCATCCACATCTTTTGCCTTCCTACGATACTGTCATTGCTTGGAAGTGTTCAAGGATGGGTAACTCAAAGGTTGCAGTGGACCGAAGATGCGCCTGCCGGTTTGGCTTTCTTTTGATCATCTGGCGTGTCGAACGCTGACTTTTACCTCCATGCAGAACTAGGGCCTATCCGGAAGGTTCTGCGCGCTTTGGCTTTGGGGTCTCAACTGAGCTTAAGCAGAGAGGGTTGCATAACGAGAAGCTTGGACAGCAGTCAGAGAACACATTCCTTGCATCCGGTAGCAGGCTCGCGGCAAAGGAAACCCGTCTTTGTGAACGGACTCGTTGCATCTGCTCAAACGCCCCTCGTGACTCTTTTAACACTAGTTCTTCGGGCCATCTCCGCTCGCCTATTGCAAAACCACTCAAAAGCGCATCGAGGAAGGCCAGTAAGTCGCTAGGTTCTCTCAGCCTTACCTCGGCAATCAAAAGTCTTTTCGGTCACGGGAGAAAAAAGCCCGAATTGAAAGATCAGGACGACTTCTGGGAAAGGTATTGCCAATCCTACAGTGAAGGGCCACCACATCATTCGCGACAATTCTCAAACCCACTTTCTCCAGCGCGCCTCAGGAAGTGGAAACCGCGCTCATTTAGTGACCCCTTACACAGAAGGACAGGCAGCGTTGGGCAGAAGCCGAACTCCCAGCCCGAAGAAAGTGAATTTCCCATTTCGCAGTCGTCGCAGTATTCCTCACCATACCTCCAAACTTCCTACCCCGCCGACTATTTCTCACTCTCCCCACACGACGAGCCTATCGACGAAACAGCCCCGATCCAGAAGCTGAACTCCCGGGGCCTGGCTGAAGAGCAAGCAGTCAAAAGCCAGGACTCGTTACTTCCGCCAACACCGGAGCCCTTGAGATACTGCGATCTGCGTGAAACCAAGACAGTCTTCCCCAAGCCCTCAACATCCACCATGGATCCCCCTCGTGGCTCCAAGTTCCTGGATCCGACGTCTGCCATGGCCGCTATTACGAAGCACAAAGCAGAGGCCATCAAGCTTGCGCGTGAGCAGGGTGTCGCGGTCCAGGAGATGTGTCGCAGAGCGAAAACTGATACTCCTCCGTACGAATTCGAGGAGCTGATTGGCAAAGGTGCTTATGGCCGCGTGTACAAAGGTCACCAACTGCCCTCGCACAAAATAGTGGCGATAAAAGTCATGGATATTGATTCCTTGGACTACAAGAGTGTTCGAGACTTTCGAGACGAGTCTATAAAGGACTTTATTCATGAAACGAAGGTCATGAAGCAGGTCAAAGATTCAGGAGCAAAAAATATCAATGAAATAATCGAAGCCATCTCCATCCACTCCCAGTTGTGGTTGGTTTGTGAGTACTGCCCCGGTGGAAGCGTCAGGACATTGGTAAGTCTGCACTGCCCGGTCCGCCCTATAATCCATCATGTTTTTTCTTTGGTTATCTGCTGTCCAGAGCGTCAAAGCCTGTTATCATATCAATCGCTGATCATACCAGATGAGAGCCACGGGTGATCAACTGGATGAAAAGTTTCTCATCCCTGTAGCTCGTGAGCTTGCCGCTGGCTTACGTGCTATCCACGATGCTGGCATCATTCACCGAGATATCAAAGGTAGGAATGATGTTAGAAGCCCAAATCGTACGGATGCTAATAATCTCACGAAGCCGCCAATATCCTGATACACGAGGAGGGACGATTGCAAATATGCGACTTCGGTGTGGCTGGAGTGCTACAATCACAGTTGGACAAACGCTCGACTTGGATTGGAACACCTCACTGGATGCCACCTGAGATGTTCTCTATGCGTGGCGAAGCGCACAAATATGGTAGCGAGGTTGGATCTCCTAGTCCCTGAGGTAGCATCACATACTAACCGGGATAGATCGATGTATGGGCCTATGGCTGCACGCTCTTCGAAATAGCGACGGGAAACCCCCCGAACTCGACTTTGCGAGAGCGAATGCAGATAGGAAGGCAACTCAACCGCGTCGCTCCCAAGTTGGAAAACTCGAAATACAGTGATGGGCTGAAAGACATTGTCTCTTTCGTATTGGAATCAAACCCATCTACCCGACCAACAATGGCAGACATACAATCGCATGCATACATTGCGGATACCGAGGAAGCTTATCCCACATCATCTTTGAGTGAGCTAGTGCGGATCTATTATCAGTGGTCGCAGCGGGGAGGCCAGCGCATCTCCTTATTCCACCCCGGAGGTGCAGCAGCCGCGGAGATGCCAGGCACAACTATGGACTCAGACAGTGACTGGAATTTCAGCACCACAGATGGGTTTGAACGAAGATTCTCCGTCATTGACCTTGACCAGATAGCCGCATCTTTGGCAGAGATGGAGGACGAAATTGGCACCACGAATATGCAACCTGCACGAGAGTCATTCGATGAACCGATTGAGCGGGTAATGACAAAGGAAGATCAGGCTAACTTCGATGAGCGTGTCCGGCGAGGCGCTGAAGCTATGGAGGGGCTCTTCAATGAAGAGAAACCAAGTTATACGTACGAGACGAAGAATGATTTTGTCCCAATTGAGGAAAAGCAGCCTGTTTCAGACCTACCTCTTCGCACCGAGACCGATCGCTCCTCCGTCACCTCGACATTTATCGATATTGACATTGGCTCATTTGATTCCTCACACTATGCAGCTGGAGCTTCGTCGTCACAACCCTTTCAACTTGCTGATGCAGATACTATCAAGGCGAACAGGTCTAGCGGTCGTCAATTCCGTAATTCTAGTGATAGTCGTTCTTGCTCGTCCAGCAGTGATGTCAGTAACCGGGAACCTCAAGATTTGACTTTCCAGCCTCAGAGTGGCCCGCGACCCCCAACCATGGATTGGAAGTTCCCAGTTTTCATGCAGCCTCCAGAGGAGGAGGAACCCCAGACGGAAGCGTCGCAGGAACCGGCACCTGTGGAGCCTGAACCCACTGCAAGGCGCGCAACGATGGAATGGACCTTTCCTCTCATGACCGCAGCTGCAGGCGAGGACCAGAATGGCACCGATAATGATATGGATAACAGTCGCTATGATACTTTAAGGGCACCAGTTCTAGACCTTGAGCCTGCGGCCACGATTCGACCCACCAGTATTGGGGAGCCTGGTGACTCTCGGCCATCCACGTCGGCATCCACTCATTCTCGTGCTAGTGTGTCGATAAGCTCTGATACTGACTACGATCCATTCCGATTTGACCGGCCTTCCACTCCACCAGGTGGCATCCCACAGCAGCAGCAAGGTCTGGAGCATGACTACCCAGAGCTTCTAGCATCTAATGAGGACAAGGATGATGATCAGTCATCTGTATTAGACGGGCCTGGGCCGGATGAGGAGGAGAGCCACCCCGTTTGGCAAGATAATCCCGATGTATCAGACTCCGCTCTGCAGTCCGAGCCATTCCCGACTGCCATCCCAACAAATGAGCTAGAGCCCAACCCTCCGTTTGCCGCAAGGGGTGACTCTCCGTCATCCGAGCCATTACCCACAGCTCGACACGCTCCAGCTACAAGTGCACTTGATGAAATGGAGCCTATTGTATTCCCTGATCTTGTGCCTCCTCGACTTGAAGTGATGCATGAAGGAGCAGATGAGAGTGATGTGACGGCTGAGATGGATCGGCTGTTAGGTGATTTGTTGAGCGCGCTCTCAGCCACAGGCGAGGCGCTATCACGCACCAGGTTCGGACCAGAAGCCGCCAATGGAAAGAGCTCGACGCCTGAGATCCCTGAGTAGTGGTTGGCCTTTGGTCGGTCGTCATTGTTGCTCGCGGATGAACGCTTTCCTGAAGGACATGGAGATCTACGACTTACGACTTCCTCATTTGCACGATGGAGCTTCTGCTTTAGTATCGCAAGTACCTACAATGGTGGCTAGCCTCTGATTAATTGTGGAGCCCTGTAAATTATTTACATCTCGATGGCTATTTTATTCGGATTCGTCAGCAGTAGTCCGATCACAACAGGCTGTTGGCAAGGTATAAACGGACAAACATCAAAACTACGTCAGAAATAGGAAAGAAATAGTAATGAATGAAACAAATAAATCGGCCCAGTCATCGTATCGCATCAAGTTCGAGAACCAGCCATCATGCAGTCTCCTTGCTCCCTTAGCCTGTAATCCTAAACTCAGCAGATAATCCCAAATGATCCGTAATCCACATTTCCTCTCCTTTCCCATCGTCACTCTCCCCATCACTCACTTGCGGATACTCGATCCAAACCGTCTGCCCAGCTCCAATCCTCTGCAAGCTCTCCACCTCCAACCCGCCACAAAATAAAACCTTGTCCATACGAGAACATCCATACTTATCCCTCATCCAATCGGGAACCTGCTGGCCCCACGTGAAGCTTTCCTCCGTGCCATCCTTCCCACCAAGAACCAGAAACGCATCACGGAGCTTGCTGTCATTCGGTGCGGTGAGATCTTCAGGCGCAAAGGCGTTGAGGTCACCGGCTAATATAGCCGCGTGCGGAGTGGGTACGTTGGCCTCTCCTGGTCCAGAGCTATGCATGAACTGCGAAGCGAGATAGATTTGTCTGGGTCTAATTGGGGGGATGGAGAGGAGACTTTCAAGATGGGTGTTGCAGAGACGGAGGGTTCCTGTATTCTTAGCAAATTTTCACAAAAGCCTCTCGAAGCATAAGACCGCTCAAAATGAATATCAGAAGAAGGACAGCAAGAGAGAGGAGGAAAGACAAAAGAAAGGGACTATACCAATCTCATCAATACGGCCACCTTCTTGACCCTGAACACAATCTAAGTCCACGAAAAGCCCATCTCTCCCCATTCTGGACATGGAAAATGGGACCCTAAACACCCGCTGCACATGACACCGCTTGTCGATCAGGGTCGTCGTTCCGTAGCCGTGTATCCAGTGTGTGTCGCTCAGATCGGTAATGAAGAAGTGATCCTGGACCCATTTGGTCTGTTGGATGACGGCTAGGTCTCTGAGAACCATTTCTTGGAGGAAGATTATGTTTACTGGCGTGGCTTCTCTATTGTTGTCGTCACTGGGTTTGAGTAGGATCTTTGAAAGATAGTTTAGGCCCGCTTGAGTCCGCTCTGCTTTGCAGGGCTCTTGAAAGTCGATGTTCCAGGTTGTTAGGGTGAAGGCTTTGAGGGGAACTGTGCTCGTACTTGTCGCTTCTTGAGTGGTATCTGTTTGCACCGGGTTCCATGTCTGGGTGGTTTGGTTGTAGCTGTAGTATGGTTGCGGGTTTGGGATGTCAACGATGGCGGGGGCTGCTGTAGGTGACATTTGGAAGGGCTTGCTGATTGAGGTTGGACGTTGAGCGTGGTGAAGATATTCTAGTGTAGTGTTGGGTGTGTGCGGATGTTTGGGAATCAAATGGAGCAGGATTGACATGGGGTGGTGCTATGTCAAGCTGAGTGAGATCGAGAAGATAATCGTGTGGTTAGGTCGTTTTCGAGGGGGAGGAATGGAAGTGACTGTCCAATCAGGTTTTCAGGAGGTACATGTTAAACGCGGTGCCCTATTCTAGAATTTTATCCTTAAGACGAGAGTAATAGGGCTAGATTATCGTTTTCTCTACTTTCTTCCTGCGCTATGAGATCTGCAGTCACTGTGTTAGTATCGGAAAGCTTGTTGGAGTCCTGGTGACAGACAGTACTAATTCACTAACAGACAGCCCATTATCATGAAACAGCTGCAATAGATTATCCGATGCCTCACTGTAGGCAATAAGAATATGAGCCTACAAAGCAATTATTCTCTTTGTTTCTGGTGTTGTACAGGCTATGAAGCTTTTCCCGACATATAAAGCACAGCCAAAATGAATGTTGCTAATCGTGGACCCGTAAGAAAATATTCCACACCGATAGTAGATAATGTCTGAGGGATCGGCTTGGGACTGCTATAATACGCAAATTCTCTGGAGGTAGTGCGTATAGAAGTATTAGACAGTTGAAATTGCTTCCACTGAACGGCTGCGCTTTATGTCATGGCATATTGCCACAGGCTGACGTGTAAAATTCCCCAATATCTGTGCCCCCGTCCTCTCTGATCAAATTGTGAGTTCTCTCTATAAGATCTTCCCGTTTCCTCATATGTCGCTCGATGATCCCCCCCCCCCCCCAGTCCTGACGCATTGAGAATCTCTGCAAGCCTGTAATGGCAGTCTAGGAGGGTGCGGCGGCTAGGGAGAGCGAGCTGTTGGGTATGTTCTGTCTGCTCGAACTCAATGCTCTTTGGGAGTAGTCGTCTCTCCGATGGCGGGTATCTGCGGTAGTACTTTACTTCATATTCGTTTTCGACATCCTAATCGTATCTCTCTCTATTTGTAAAACTGAAAAATGATATATACGCTGTCCTGTTAGCTACTCACAGTAGGCTTCAGAGAGATATTGAATTTTCCAAATTCAATGTGGATAGAATATCGGATTGTCAAGCCATTAGAAACGCCATTGATGTTATCGATAGCAAAACACATGCGCCGTACTTCAGGAAAGCAGCGATGGAGAACTCCCCAAGCTTTTGCACGGTCATATGAGGGATTCTAGACTTTATTAGTATATGAATATCATACACTAGAGAATATATTACCGTTGTTTCCCAAGAACCGTATGAAAATGGGATGATATAGGCTCCTTCTGCCAAGAGCGGCCAAGACTCCTGAGACTCGCCATGGGTGGACATATTCGATAAGAATGCCTGCGGCTGCGGTGATGAACCTTTTTTTGGCTTACGTAGCGATTTTCGAGGTGGGCCCGAAGAAGACGGAGATGCTGGTCGTTTATACTTTCTGCGAGGCATGGTGAAATAAGGTACAAGCGTGAACTAATGGTCAGTGCGTGTGAGTGACCCCAACATCACGGTCCAGACCTGATTCGTGTTTGATAGAAGTAAAGGGAAAAGAAAACACGCGGAGACAGGGTAGACTGAGAAAACTCAAAGGGGCAGGTTTGTTGGGGGAAGAAGACTTTTGTCAAATAGAAGACAATTTTTCACTTCCCACCTCTTCACTCCTCATTCCTTTATTGCTTCTTCACTGCCTCTTTCCGTTTCTCTTATTATCTCAGTGTAGAGAAGCGCACCTCGAGCTTTTCATACGAACGGCAGATTCGATCATTAGGGCAGACTATCGCGACTTTCAAACCGAGAAGGGAAAGATTCCTCCTAGTTCACTATACCACCTTCCATCACTATGTCTCATATTACATTACTATCCACGGCGTATTTGATAACGTAGCGCCGAGCATGTTATACACCATTCACTGATACCAATGTTAATGGAGCCGGGGAAAGTATATGGGAGTGAAAGAAAAACATGGGGCTTTTATTGCTATTCCCTGGGCGGCCTACGCCAACAAATATTCCTTGAGCAATATCTCCCTCCAGCAGTCATGAGGTCTCCAAATGTGATATTGAAGTGCCCCGTGCCCTGGAATGAGGACGGAAGAAAGTCCAATCTCGCCGTCTATTCTACGATAAATACAAAAGCGATCTCATAATGTTGCTCTTGGATATAGCCATTTACCTTTAGCAGCTAGTCTATTAACCTTCTGCTTTTCCTTAAGCAACGTTGTAGTTTGAACTCTCGCGGTAAATTTCTTGCTCTGAAGATTCCGCCGTAAGGTGAAAAGAGCCTACTCCGGCAGCACTTATGGAGTTAGTAACGGTAAATATATGCAACATCATGGGGTTTGGGAGATACGAGAGGGAGAGAGGCAAAAGAGAACAGGACGTCCTCACCCTATTTGTCGGGGTGCCTATGGGCCAGCCTTTTACAGCTGTGCCTTCTACCTACTAGCCGGCATAATATAACTTTCATAGTAGGGCAGCTGAAGGACCAGCACGGACAGAATAGAAGATATAGGCTCAAGGGTTGGTATTAGCTTTTAGCAGTGTGCGAACAGTCACAGATAGGTGACCAAGTCAACTTCAAGGGTGATTGTATTACTGAGTGTCTTCAGACTCACCCTGTGAAAGTGGTCACAAGTCGAGACGACGGGGTAGGACGGGAAGACTCATAGCTTTTTGCACGATATTATTACCTACCTCCTGTAGTCAGCTTTGTATAGAACAGTCATACTGCAAAAGTGGTCACTCCTGATAACAACATTTCACGATATGGTTGCCGCGGCGTCAAAACACGTACGCATGCTATTTTGGTGCAGAGTCTTCACGTCAAGTCACGTCACGTCCTTTCTCGGCGACAGGCTTTTGTTCTTTTTATACTCAGGGATATGGCCTTCCTCTCTTTGTCCTCCTTTTCTCTGCTGGATCCCCCAACTCACACCCACAATGGCTTCAATCGCCAACAGGTCGTCTCTGTTTGAGTCCCCACTAGTTCCTAGATCATCTCAGCAGTGGAAGGCCGCTCTTCAGGGCGTTAAGCTCCTGTATGTCCAGCGCCAGTACAAGCAATGTGCTGCCCGGGCCACGGAACTGCTCGAGAAGTCAAGAGAACCTGTATGTCTGTCTGTCGCATACAAGTCTAATACTAACGTAGAGCAGCTGCACCCCGTCTACAAGACATACCTATATTTCTACAGTGCAGTCTGCTACGAGGAGATGGGGCGAGCCGCTCACAAGTACTCCAGCACCAAGATCCCACTGCTGCAAGGCGCGTTAGATCGGTTTGATATCTGTAGCACCGTTCTGCCCTCTCCTATACCAGCCTTGAGCCGCCCTTCGGAGGAGTCGAACTTCCCTTCCCTGGGAGAAATCTCTTCACCTTCTGAATGTTCAGACAGTCCCTCAACTATATGTAGCCTTGTCAGCAGCATCACAGATATCATCGACAAAACCATTCAATGGAAAGAAGAGGACCCGTTTATCTCAGACAGTGATTCCTGTTCAGATACGGACATTGGCACTATGGCCACTGCTGCCTATGACAGAGCAAACCATCTGCTTGTTCCTCCTCCATTGACACTTAGGAAGTCGTCCGATGAGATTCTTCCACTCGAGCCAGTCCTCCGTGAATCAGGCTACACTGCATTTCGGGGTGAGAGATCAGATCGAGCTCGTCTACCTCCTCCATTGCCTATCAAAATTGTCCCTTGTGCAGTCACAGGAAAACACAAGAGAACTGTGGATTCACCATTAAACAACAGAGATTCCCGACTATGCACAGACGACTTACTCATCAATTTAAGTGAAAGAAAGATTGTACCTGCGACACCACAGTACAGTGATTCCATCAGGCGCTACAACAGTAGTCTCCGATCCTTGCGGGCTCAAATCGACTCGAGCATTAACTCAATTCATGTGCTTATTGACGAACTTGAAGAGAAGCAGCATACCCGCAAGATGGCCAAGACTATCAAGCGATCGGCTTCATTCTGGAGTTTCAGTCCTGTCCAAGGTGGTGATGGATGCTGGGAGAAGGTCGACGGCCCGAAGCGGTCCCCGGGCAAAGAGACTAAGCAAGAGAGAATTGATCGACTACGTGCTGAAGGGTGGAAGACAGTAGGACTCCGATCTGCAGCGCGAGGATGGAAAGGAGGAGAGTATTACAAAGATTATTGCAGTTCTGTTTTGGATGAGCTTTATTTGGAGTCGTGACAGTTTGACCCTGGAGCGGAAATGACAGTTTGGATGCTGGGATTCACGGACATGTGGCTTGGCTATTGGTGTTGATAGTTCTGATTGATGGAAGATATCTTGTAGTAGTATTGGGGCTGTGTTGAATCGTCAATGTCTCTTTTTCGACTTCTTTATTTTGTACCCCAGGCTCCCCAGCCTCATGTTAATTAGTTTTAAGTATTGCAATGAGGGGCTGTTAGAATACCATGAAATAAATCCAGCATAGCCGAGATTAAGCCCTCACCTCCCAGCATGCATATTTACTTCAAGCTTCCTTCATCATGTTTCATATATGCTATTTAATATAGTCGCGTGTTCCTAGAGTGGTTCTGCATATGAATATTGACTTGGATGGGGAAAAACATATTGATTCACAGAAAGGTACAAGCTTCGCTCTACCAAACACCAGCATCGATAACGTCTGCTAGACCTTTAACATGACGAGATTATTATACTATCAGCAGAACTTATTGCTATTGATTAAATATCAACTGTGCGAGCTAGTTCACATTCTATGTAGTCTGTGCCTGCATGTTCCTGGTTGAGACCGGGCAAAAGCTAGTAGGCGGCTTGAAGGCATTCAAGGATACTCTCCGCTTTAATGTGGCTGTGGTTGGGGAGTTCTTACAATTGTTTTCGTCAGATGATCAGTGGGTAGCAGAAATATTTCGAAGCTACAATCTCCGAGTTGGATAGTGATAGTATTAGGTAGCAGTTGGATATAACTGACCTTATTAGCCTATTCCAACCTAGCTATATGCCACTCTAGTTTAACTCTTTCATAGGAGATGATATCCAATTACTAACCTTATGGTAAATATCACATACACCAGGCAAAAATGTATTGACATGTAATGTCTGAAGCTCTAATATCTTACATCTGCTTCTATGATTGAGCCATACATGGACTTGATATTGTCTCGGGGCATCAATGGGATCTCAACAGTGGCAGTACCACTGAAGACAAATGTTGCATATTAAAATAGAATCAGCAGTGGAGATATATAAGAAAGTATCCGGACAGACAGGTAGACATTCAAAGGTATATTTATAAGCGGTGATGTCCTAAAATAGTCTCTTCCAGGAGATATGTGTTATAAGGTTAAAATTCAAAAGCCCATAACATAGGTTAAATAGCTGTAGTTTTCTGATCCTATAGAGCATGGACTACTCAATACTATGTAGGTCTGACAGAAGGATATAGGGGCCCTATTCTGCGGCTGTAGATAATATTAGCAGGATTCTAGCGGGTCAGATCGCTATATATCAGCTAGCAACATACTGATATACTAGCTAGTAGGTACATTGACGGGTTGACGCGTTCCCCCAGAATAATAAAGACACAGCGATATAGGTGATTTCACTCTTCTCTTCGAGAGGGTCAATCTGTGTTGGGTTATGTTGGTCAGGGGGTTACATTTTGTGAGCTGCTAAACTGCAAGCAAGTAATCAGTATAAAACAAAAAAAAAAAATAGAGCAAACAAATAAATCTGAGACAAGAAGGAATACTACAGAAGTTGTTATAAAGCTCTCAGCATTATCTTTATATTGCTAGACTGATCAGGCTATACCCTGCAAAGCAAGTGTTCCAATCCCCGAGGACTCTATTTTTTGATACGCTGGCAAATGTCTCCGTGCAGCGGAATATTAGCCTGCTTGTCAAAGAGCAGAGGGGTTACAGAGTTACAGAGTTCGCTCCTACATGCAGTAGCGGCGACGGCGGAGGAGCGGGCGTAAGGGCGAGGGAAATCGATCGATTAAAATTCCACTGACATTAGTTATGCTACATATTGCATCCATCATTTCTAGAGCTCTCAAAACCGCGCTTCTGGGAGGGATCTGCTGTAACCACGAGCATAACCGGAGTTAATCTCCAGCCGTCGACGTGAAAGGTAGACTGCGGCATGACCCTCAGTAACCCGACCCAACCCTTAACCTAACTCTTGTTTTTAGGGATTAAGAATATGCCTCCTGGATCCTCAGTTAGAACTGAGTCTAGATATAATTTTTTGGAAATTTATCTATACGGTATCTTGGAAACGCCCATCTAGGAGTTATCATGGCCTCGACAAGATGCAATTTGAAGGGACTACACTACGGAAGATTGAGATCATGCTCTTGCTAATCAATCAAGAAAATACTAGGGCAAGGTGATCAAGCTCTTCCAATTTATCACCAACACATGACTGATGCTGTTCATTGTGCTCAGAGCCACATGGCATTCTTCTATTTTCACCAGGAGTACAAACACAGCGAGTTAAAGTACTCAGCGCATAGGCGTCTTCCTAGAGAACAACTTGGAAGGCAAATGTGGTTATTCCATGTGAATATATACGACAGCTCCACCCACCAAACTTAGACTTAGTAACTAGAAATTCAAAAAAAAAAGCCAACGATTTCAATCAATTGTCCCTGATGTAAGTGTAGAACATGCAACAGACGATCATTTGAACACCAAATTCAAATTTCCCTTCTAATGACTGTATAACTAGATAGAAAAAATTACAATGCATGTTACTATATATTCTAAGCAGCCTGCTGAATACGACCGAGTTTCTACCTTTTTAGAGACAAAAGTGTTAAAAGCCAATTGCTTCGGTCGTACTTGAATCATTCAAATTTTTGGGTAGTTTTGGAAGTATACTTGGTTGTTGAATGGCTTCAATTTATCTATCAGGACGCACACAAACCACGTGAGCGGGCCGCCTCGCTTGTCGCTAATGAATGGCGATCCGGTAGCATTGGTTCGGAACTTCGGGCACTTCTCATACCCTCCAGTTACTTGCACATCTCAAGGGGATTTGTTTTCTGAGTTGGAACTCATTGTGCTACCAGTGACTCTACCAAGTCTCCATCTCCCCTGACTCCGATGTCAGACCGCGAGTCCACTGGCAAGTCTGCCAACCGGGTTATCCGCCGACGCCGCAAGTGTCTTGCTTGCGACTCTTGTTCCAAGAGAAAGGTACTTATTATCCACTATTTTGGTCATATTTACGCACCATTAGTACAATATACTCATGTCGGTATTAAATACTTGGAACTTGAAGATTCAATGCGACCGAGCAACCCCCAAGTGCAATTGGTGTTATCACCACAGCCTTCCCTGTCTATATACTCGTAATCGAGCTCGGCTGAGGCAACAGCAGCACCGCATTTCAGAGTAAGATAATGCTTAGCACCTGCCTATTGACTGTTATTGTTTGACGCCTAGCTAGCCGTATTGCTCCGTCACCTGAAAGCGGTCTTAATAGCACTCCAGGTATGTTGGGTCAATGAACTATCAAGATACGTACGCAATTGGTTGCATTCCATTCTCTAAGAATTCTGAAATGAACCTAGATTTCGCATGGAATTCGGAGGTTCCACGTATAAAGACTCCTGATCCTAATCTGCACTTTCCGGGACTGGCCTTGAGAAACATTTGCGTGTTCAATGGCTTGCCATTTTTTTCCTCAGGGGGTCGACAGTGGATCAAGGCACAGACAGGGGAAGACGTGGATCTGAACCAATATCAGCCCCCGAAACGGATCTCATCGCTTCGCCCCAAGGCGACTCGCACCGTATATTTGCCGAGCAAAAGTCTTCTTTTTGAACGCCTCCAAGAGTACAAATCATCTGTCTTTTGTCAAATATTCCCGTTCATTAACCCGCACCTTTTCGATGACACAGTTCGTGCGGCTTATCAGGAGCAATCCACCTTAACATGCAGCAATGATAGTGCCAAAGCATGTGTCTTTGCATTCATGGCAGTGGCTTCTATGTTCTCGAATTCTACAGATAGTCATGGGTCTCTTGACTCCGATCATTATGCCTACGCTGCTTATGATCTAGTACCGGAATTCTTTCGAGACACTGTAACAACAGAAGGGTTACAGGCGTTACTTATGTTGGTAAGTCTTACTCTTTCCATGGTAGAGGAATACTTCGAATCTGAGTCACTACAGTGCCTCTACAGTCAATCTGTTCTCGGTGACCAGCTGAGTGTAGAACTATTATTCTCGGCTGCAACTCGATTTGTCTTCCATCTTGGGGGCCATATATTCCCTAAGAGTGTTGATAAGGTCGGTAGCAAATCTTTAGACCTGCAATTACATATTCGGAATCTGTTCTGGCTCTGCTACATTTTTAATCAGGAGTACAGCCTGCGAACAGGCCTTCCTCCTATCTTGACGACGCAAACTGTGATCTCACACTTTGTGAAGCCACAACTACAGGTGCTCGAGACACTGGGCTATCATCTTTCTTCACCCCATTCGCGCGCATGGCAATCATCCAATCGCAGATCTATCGCAGACTCTATTCTGTCGTAGCTCGAAACAAAACGGATTCTGAACTCTTATCCACCATTCGTGATCTTGATCAGCTTTTGGAAGACTGGAAGCTCTCAATTCCCATGGATGCACGACCGTCCCTAACACATCGACCGACAGGTGGTGAAGACATACCATCAGCTGTTTTTCAGCTGCAATATCATTATTGCATGGCAACTATCCATCAAGCGAGTGGTCGCTGCATATCATGGACCCAAGACACACGTGGCTCTGGCTCCAGTCTAGCCATCAGTGTGGAGGCAAGTCGATCACTGTTAAACATAGTGTCACATTCTGAGCTTCACCTTCACCGCTATAATCTACTGTCAGTCCACACTCCCGTTGATATAGCTTATGAGGATCCAGAAACGCCGCTTACCATCTCTCTTTCTAGTTTCTGCCTTCCTTATGTTACCGCTGCGATAATTCACCTCTTCTGTGACATCCTTCTTAAACCTCGTGATGTGGCCAGTCATGCCAGTCTAGAACTGATGGACATGGCTCGGGAACGGATGTTGGCACAGCTATGGCCGCAAGCTCCTATTTCTTTCAAGATGCAGGTCCAGTTCGTGGAAGGCCTCAGTGTAGAAGTACAACGCCTTGCGCGAAGTGCGATTCGGAAAGCGACTGCCTGACTTTGGCTACGAGTTGGGAGCTGCTCTCCTCCATCGAACACATCCTTCATTATTATTATCTTAAATAACAGGTACTACCTGAGAATACTATCATATGTTTACGAACGCGGTGTATAAAGAAGCTATATCTAATTTATAATGACATATAAAGGTCTATCCACAGATCTCGGAAGGAGGATCGTCCACCCGAGTCAAATTCTGAACCCCCGTATATCACAGATGTTCGATTACTTCGCTAGACCAGCAATAGTATCCTCTCTCCAGGACCACAAGGCAGCCCAGGTAGCCCCTGGGCCGATCATGAACTGGCCCGCTATAACCGCAAAGGCGGCTTTGACTGCAGTACGCGTCCGAATGTATCCAAGGCGACGGAGGTCCCAGATCGAGTACAGGTTGCCACCAACATAACCCGCCAAGGCTGTTACACCGTCGTACCGGAAAAATATAGCTATCTGCTCTGAAATGGTGGCGATGTTCCACTCAGCCCGGAAGGGATTTGGTAAACCGAAGAAGGCCGTCCCGATCGAGATATCGGGATGGGACCACGCGTATGCCATTGTGGCGATGTGTACTGTTGACTGCACGGCAACTGCATATGTGTACACTTGCTTGAGGACCGGCACATCATGTGCCTTGTAGCGCTCGAATGCCTCTCCCTCCTCTTGTGGGATGCCACGACTGAATTGCCACCTCTTGAAGCCTGCTGAGAGGACCGCTGTTAGGACGTTAACCAAGGGCGGTGTGAATTGCCAGAGCGCAACCCAGTGCTGCCAGGCTTTGAGATTAGAGGTTGACGCGAAGACCATAATCGTTGGCAGTACGAAGCCCAAGGTGACCGCTGGGATTAGGGATTTGGCTACCTCTCTGGGGACTGCACGGCCTGGAATGCTCTCGTGTGTATAGAGGGAGCTCAGAATAGCATATAGGGGAGCCATTCGTCCAATGCCCTGCACTTGCATGCCCGTAGTGAAGATGGTTGGCAGAGCTAAGAGCGATCCCTGGTTCCCCAACCGGTAACCCTCGATGGTATATATCAGGAGCGGCGAGATAAGCTGAGGTAGAAAATTGATAAGGTGCAGCCTCACCGAGGGGTCCTTGTCCAGGATGGGGAAAGATAAAACTGACACCAGCTTGTTCAAAAATTTCTGTCCGGGGCTGTCACCTAGCCAGGAGATGATGATCGAACCAGATTCTCCCCAGCCGCCGAGACTTGGAAAGGGCAATCGGAAAGCTTTGGTTGTGACAAAAACAACGAGCCCCATGCTCCCTATGAAGCCCCAACGGATGAGCCTAGACATATTTTGATCAATGGGTTTAGCGGGTAGCTCATCACTGAAAGGAATGACTCTAGACCGATGTGGGACCTGGAGTTTCTCTACAGTGGCGGCACCGGCGAAAGTCTGTCCCATCTGGCTGAGGACAAACTCATCTCCTACAAAAGGTAGGATAAGGTTGTTTGCTATGGTAGAGACAAGCGGGTTCTCGTAAGCATTAAGTGCTTGCATGTCATGGGCCTTGCGGACGATCGACTGAGCACGATCATATCTGTTAGTCTGTGTTTCGCGCATGATGTCTTCTATGTCTTGGTCGGACAGATTAGCCAAGCTACCGCCGTGGCTTTCTTTCTTTCGCAAGATAGCATTGAGAAACTCGGCGCAGGATTCCATTGCTCCATTTGCACCTTGGCCGCCAATAGGATTTGGCTACAATATAGACGAAGAAAAGTTGTCAGCCATCCGTATGAGGCAAGAGTAGCAGTTGATCTGAGTATACGAAACTCATGATACTTACCTTGTGCGCTGAGTCTCCAAAAGTAATGATCCTCTTGAAAAACCACTTTTGGTAAACAATCTCGTGCAGTGGTGTCAATGTCGACGATAGTCGCTTGTCAAAGACCTGGCCGAAGGTGACCTTCCTTGTGATGGGAAGATTGTAATTTTGCTTCACGAATTCAGCTTCGTCTTCCTTGGTATACCTGGGTATATCCTTCCCATACTTGGCTTGTGGCAGCCTATCAAACAGAAACCAATACACCCGGTCATCTGGCCCCGACACAACAAGCTGCGACTGGCCCTCGCCCATCACAATATTTTGCTCTCCTGCGACCCATCCAGGAACATGCTGAGCGATGCCGAAGCTGCAACGGTAGTAGCACGGAACGCTATCCTCCTCTGTAGAGGGGAAATATCCTGGCTGGATCTTGTCACCCAAGCCTCTCATAAGAGATCGCACGCTGCTGTGGATGCCGTCTGCGCCCACAACGAGCGTACCAGTGAAGGCCGAGCCATCTGTGGTCGTGACGTTGACACCCCCATCAATGAGATCTATACTGCTGACTCTTTTGTTGAGTAATACCCTATCTTTGTACTCGACGGTTTCGTATAGAATCTCTAGAAGTTGCTGCCGATCAAAGAACAGCAGGCCATACCCATGTCTGTGTCTGTATTAGAGAGAAAGGTGACCCATCGGCTGACTATGGCTCAACATACCGCCTCTCCAGGTGCTTGAACATTTGATGCATGCTGCAGAGTATGTCACCTTTTTTATCCCGCATATATCCCACTTTGAGTTGCTGGATGGACAGGTTGGTGATTCGCTCATAACATCCAAGTTGGTCTAGGATGCGCAGGCCATTCGGAAACAAACCGATGCTAGCACCAACTGGTGGCGCAATTTCTGAGTGTTTTTCGAGTAGAACATAATCGATATCAAACTTCTCTAGCATGTTAGCCAGGGTGAGGCCGGCAATGCCTCCACCGGCGATAATAATCTTGAACTCCGCCATGGAGCCAATCTATCAGGATGAAATGTTCTGGAGCTGAGTGTGATACGATATATACCTATTCCAGTATCCATGATTGTGTGATAGCTGCGGAGATTTAAATATTCGTCCACAGGCATGTATCATACCTCATCCATCATGGGGTATTCTCCACAGGAATAGTTTATCTGCGCTTATGTCAGCGGCCTTAAGTGGATGTTAGTTTCAAAGCCCCTGGAGCCTGACCCACTTAAAAGACCTTAACTACGAGTTAGGACCGCTGATTCACGCTACTGCGCAGTACGTTGACGGGAGCTTCATAGGCATCCTAATCTAGAAACGATAAGCCGTGGACAACCTAACCACCGGCATTATCTCTTGCCGGAAGATCCAGAGAAGACTTTCGGAACTGAGGGAATCCGTGCCGAATCGCAATTCCTCAAAGAAAAGTCATTTTGCTAAAAATACATTCCATGGATGTTGGGTAGGTTGTTGGTGCCTTGGTGCTTGGTAAGGCGATGCCTCTTGTGCTTGACCTCTTGAAGTGGAAAGGTGACATACCCCTCTTTATGATGAGAAAATACTACAGTGAAGGGAGAACTATCTTGTGGTTGATAATACAGTAAAGTAAAAGAGATATAACGAATTATTGCAGGACGAAAATGGGCTGGTTAATGTAGACGTTTGACCGGGATTGTACTTGTGCTATCAGCTGCTGCTCTTCCTCTTACGACTCGGTGACCTGTACACCATACCTTCAAGTGCCAGTAGTGACTCAATGAGACAACTTGTTATCTTCAAGTTACTGCCTACTGATATTTCTGGTGGAGATAATCCCCGCACAGAGACCGGAAACATTACTAAACTCTTTTCTTGAGCTACTGCTGGTCTTGTTGCACACACCCCGTCATCCGCTTGCGTGTCGCGGTATGGCCCTCACCTGCCCTCAAATAAGAATGCCTCCGAATCCCCCGAACTCTGAGAAGATTCAGAAATATTACAAAATTCGGATTCCCCGACCTATCAGTCTAAATACCACGATTTCTTTGTATAGGATTTCAGCCACTAGATTGCTGCACCTTGTATAAGGTTTGTATAGACGCCTAGTTGTTCGGCAGATAACGAAAAGCTTCAGTCATGCTTGATAGCTTTTGGAGATTTTGTAGAGAGTAACAAAGTATCCCTAGTTAGAATCAAGATAACCAATTATCGAAGTCAAGATCTTCTGCGGAAATTAAGCTAATTTACGGTTATACACATTAGTCTAGATCGAGATCACTACCTCCGTACCTTGGATCACCCGGGTGGGCACAAAGTTCCGCTACGGCATATTGACGCAAATTCTCTATCAGCAATACCAGTAGTAAAGGACAGTAAAAAGGGAAACCCCGCAGTAATCCTACAATGGTCTCCTAACATACAAAGTTAAAATTCAACAAATCTAGAATTCCCTCCGTGTAACAGTAAGCCAGGTTCAGTCTAAATTTTCAAACTGCATATACATAGCGTGGGCCTTCAACGCTCCCTACACCTTCTCCAGCATAACCGCTCTAGATCACCCCAAGGAATACCAAAGAAATGGCCTCCACCAAGCTATTTGAATCGATTCCCCCATTCCCAAACACTATTCCTGTTGCCAAACTCCTCAAAATCTCTCTATCTAGCCTCATATCTGGCGACCCAGACGCCGCTCAGGATGTCCTCACAGCATGCCGCACATCGGGCTTCTTCCACCTCGATCTATCCAACTCCCCACTGGGCGAAGCCATGATGCCACTTGTCGACTCCATCTTCCCCACCATTCATGAGACTATGCAACTCCCACTAGAAGAAAAGATGAAATACACACAAGACGCCCCGAGAAGCTTTCTAGGGTCAGTCTGCTCCCTCCATTCTCCACCGTCTCTCTCTCTCCCCTTATTTCCCCCTTCTTCTTGTTATTTATCACTCTAACAAACACACAATACCAGCTACAAAGCCCTCGGCGTCATGAAAACCGAATCAGGGGCCCCCGACCGCTGCGAGTTCTGGACCATCTCCCAAGACGACATCCTCGGGACCACTGCCCCGGAACAGCCGATGCCCTCCTGTCTCAGCACGCAACGGGGGTTGTTCAAAGCCTATTTGTTCTACGGCCGCAGCGTGATCGCACACATCTTCCACGCCCTAGCGACGCAGCTCCGTCTCCCTGACGACGCTTTCACTCAGTTCCACGACCCAGCACGGGAATCGGGGACGATTCTCCGGCTTATGCGATATGCGCCGGGCACTCAAGGCGAAGAGGATCAAATGCAGACGGGACTACTGGCGCATACGGACTTCGGAAGCATCACGCTCCTGGTGAATGTTTTGGGCGGGTTACAGGTCCTCAATCGAGCTGGGGGTTGGGAATGGGTCCGGCCGGAGCCGGGGTGTTTGATTGTGAATATGGGGGATGCGATGGTTGAGTGGACGGGGGGTGTGTTGAGGTCCAATATGCACCGGGTGGTGTGCGCGCCGGGGGAGCAGGCGGAGTTGGATAGAGTCAGTTTTGCGATGCTGGTCAGGCCGTGCAAGGAGGCTAGGATGGAGAGGTTGGTGGGGGGCTATATTCCGAGTGTTGAGAGTGACGGCGAAGAGGGTTTGGTAGCAGTTGGGACTGGGGGTGAGGGAATGACGGCTTGGGAGTGGGAGTTGAAGAAGGCGATGGCGTTGAAGGAGGGGAAGGATTGCGCGAGGAGTCGTGGGGGCAGAGATCTTGTAATTTAGACGGATGGGATACTGAGGCTTAATAGGTGTTGAATCTTGATTCGTAATCTTATTTCGGATATGTATTGGACTTGTAGGAAGAAGCACGGGATATCTAGATATAGTTTCACAATTTATGTTCATGTAATCTCCCAGTCCAAACGGGTCGCGTAGCATTATACGCCTTCATCTTCTTTTTCACCTCCGCAAACGGCAACGGAGCAATATCGACTGGATTACCCAACTCTACCCGTTTACAATCTGGCATTAACCACCTCACAGCTACCGGCTTCGGCGCTGCCGCCCCAACTTTGCCCCTTGAAAAGGACTGACAGGCTGCAGCCCAGAGCTGAAGAAGATGCTTGGTTTGCGGCAAGGCACCAAGGAAGATCGGAAACTCATGCGGCATCCCCTCATACTCATTCCAGACCACTGAGACACCAGACTTCGCTGCCCGACTTGCCACCACCCGGTTCCCATCCACTCCGCGCTCCTCACAGCCACACGCGAACCACATCGGCGGTGCGCCCGTCCAATCTTCCACGGCTGCGGGACTGACAAGTTCATGGTCGAGCAAAGCAGCGACGCAATAGGGGGCTTCGCGCGGCGGACTCGCAGGCCAAATGCTATCGGTGGGGTGGCCGGGCATACATGCGGGCTGAAGCACGTTCAGGATGTCGGTCTCGCCTTTACAGTGCCAGGAGGGAAGTGAATCACACTGATCACACCAACCGCTTACGATCGCAAGGCCGGCAGGGAGAGGTAGCGTCACAGACTGTCCATGGAAATCGAACGTTGCGTCCAAGGGAGGAAGTTTCTGCATTTCGAGGAGGAATTTCATGAGTCCCAGGGCTAAATTCGCCCCGGCACTATTTCCAGCCAGCACGATCTGGTTCGCGGGGATGGCTGGGTAAGGAGCCCCGGGTGGAGGGTACAGTAGACTTGCATATGCGATGAGAATGTCGAGGATCGGAGCGGGGAAGGTATGGGATGGCGCAAGACGGTATTTAATGGAGGCGACACGCGCACCGGTTAACCTTGCCAGGCGAACGGAGGAAGCACGATACTGTGCTGGGCCACTGAAACTGGGAGATATATTAGCGGATGCTGTTTTTGCGTGAGGCAAGATATCATGACATACTAAAGACCGCCACCATGAGCATAGAGGATGGTCAGTCTGTTATCGCATTCCTGCAGCAGGGCACGAAGCTTGTCTTCCTCTGGAATATCCGGCTCAGGGGCATCATCTGGGACTTGAGAGCGAGGGCCGATGAATTCAACGCCCACGTCGGCGATTGGAGTTTCTTCTTCCGGCGAGATGTGGTGGTACTCTTTCTTTAAACGGTGGATAACTGAGAACAGGACGTTTCTGATTGCCGGGTTAAAAGGTGCTGAAAAGGTAGTTCTTGAGATCCAGATTCCTCCACGTGCTGGGGTATCGAGCGAAGTAGCTTTCTGGAGCTGCGAGAGGGGCAGCCATGGTGAATTTTGGTATTTCTGGCAGATACGTTTGACAAGCTTCTTTTGATCATCGATTGAGGCCATTCTGGAATATGCCTGGGGTTCTGCTAGTCGTCGTACTCAAATATTTCAAAAGACTGATCGAGATCAAGTACCTCATTGCAAAAGACAGTAACGCTGAGGAACAAAGAACAAGTTTCGCCTTTTTGTGTTACTTTAACGACCCCGCGCGGCCAACCAAGGCAATTCCATTCTCTCTCCAGGCTATCAGCCCTTGCACGACCCTAACAATCCCCCGTACTAGATAAAAGGTCCAAGTTGGCCTCCACTCCTCCTCAGTCGTCCTAGCGTCAGCAAAGGGGTCACGATCTCCTCCAATTATCTCCTTCGCCACCTGCAAGCCAGCGACAAAGCCATCCTCGTGAAACCCATACCCCATCCACGCCCCAGCAAAACTGACATTGCCGCCGGACTTCAACAAATGAAGGCGCTTGAGAGCCTGAACACTCTTTGAGGTAATTTTGGGATGATGATACAGGTGCCAGCTGCGAGCTTGACAGGGGGCGGTCATTGGGTTCATAGTCACCAGCACTCGGCCTGGGCTCCCCTCTTCTCCAGGACTAGGAATCGCCTGCAGTCTGTTCATGTCGTACGTTACAGAAAACCCACCCCCATCGCTTGTCATCCTTGGTGGCCGAGTGACCGAGTGAAAATCATCCCTGCAAGAACGGGGGCTTCGGAGGATACAGTTCCAGGACACACGAGCCGACGGTCGCTTGGGGAGAACCTGTCACTTGCTGAGAATAATTGTCAAATACCGGGCATAAACACATACTGTTTCGTCCGAATGAAGTACACAAACTGTCCTGCTAGTCTCAAATGCTCCTAAGACATCATCTTCCTCAGCGCTAACCTCATCGCCGAGCATTTGCAGCGCAATTTTAGCATGCACAGCCAGTACAACATGATCGAAACTCTCTACAACTCCGGTGCCTGTGATTATGGACACACAAGAATCTGGATTTCTTGTTATACGTTGTACTGCTATCCCGAGATGCAGATGATGTTCTTTTGGCAGTCCTCTCACAAATGCATCTATGTATGTTTTCGACCCATTACTGAAGCTGCGCCACTGCAGCTTATGGGTAAGAGTGTCCAGCAGGTGATGCTTTGACCTGAGTACTGATCAATAACATGCCTCTCGTCGCACGGGGGGTCTTACATGAACCGGATCAGCGTCTCCGCCGGGAATGTACGTGCAGCCTCCTCAGGATCAAGGCACCATGGAGCTGCCACCATGGGGATAAGATAATATCGCTTGAACTGCGGGGAGTATTGCTGTCGAGTCAGATATTCTCCGATAGACTCAAGTTCATCCGATTTGCCGCGCTCCGGCTTTTCGTGAAGAATATCTGTTGCGAAATAATTAAACCGCACAATGTCAAATACCAGCCTCCAGAACCATGGTCTGAACAGATTTGAAAAACACCCCACGAAGCTCCAGAAAGATGCACTTCCCCACTGCCTGAAACCATCGCTATCCGAGACACTGAAGGACATGTCGGTAGCAATTGTCTCAACACCGTGGGCTTTGATAAAGGCGCTGAAGTGGGCTATTATGGCAGTAGCATGGATTTCTGGACAGGGTTTTATCATGTCTACTTACGGTAGCTTTCCTCATTCAGAATTACAAAACCTGTGTCAACGTCTCTCACGGTGCCGTTCCCGCGAAACGGGACGGAATTTGCATGTCCGCCAAGTCGGCCATCGGCTTCATATAAGTGCACTTCGTAGTCGGAGTCCCGCAAACCCCAGAGACAGGCAATACCGGAAATTCCACCGCCCACAATAGCAACCCGCTTAGGAGGGCGAGAATGTCTTGTAGTCATGTTCAACCAAAGAGGCTTATGGTCCCAAAGGGTGACAATGTCAAAACAGAACGCTTAGGTTCTCCACTCGTTGCTTCGGCGGACAGATACTTAAGTTTGCATGAAGAGCAGCATATCAGCAGTGGATGTGTAAGCCATTTTCATACGTTCAGTGTCATGGTGGTGTTTATGCAGCTTACCCACCTAAGAAGACATAATCTTCTCCGTGCATTACCCTTCTCCATCAGATGATATGCGACTCGGGAGGAAAAAAGAATAGGTAGTTTGTTGCACGACATATAGCCGAATAGAATATGCGTATGCAACGATATGTTTGAACGATGTCGGGCTTACGTGCTACGATGTCCAGTATGAGCCTGGACCGGTTATTGCTGACAGGATTGTGCAGAGGGAAATTGGTAGAGTATCACAGGGTCTTGCAAATTCCAGCCCGAGCTGGGTTGGATTGATATCTCACCCCGCCTTTTCTCCTTCATGTCGACCTCACTAGTCACGCAGAACTTGTTGAGCTCTCCAACTTGTCCACTTCTGGATCTAAGTCTGGGCTACCAGGGTTCAAATATGGCTCAAACCTAGATAAGCCATACCTTAACTGTTAAACATTAAGGGGGCTTACAGATCGCTCACTCACCGAGACGTCCAAGGGGCCAGCTTAACCCAGGTAAAATACAGAATCATCGCTATGTTCTGGCAGAACTGAGAATATAGGGATCGATAGGGTGACGCTCTGGTAGTCTGCAAGTATAAAACTTTCGTAGATCCTCCTCACCCCTGCGGCTCTTGTCACTAGACTTGTCGAAACAGGAGCCAACGGCTATCACAGGCTATAGGTCAGACCTTTATATTGGAAATAAATGGTCCGTATCTGGAATGGATACCAACACAGATATTAGCCGCGCCAATGACCTGAACATTACCATCAGCGTCATGACTGTCGCAATAGTGGTCACCACGAGTATCCGAATTGTTGGCAAATTTATATGTCGTCGGGCATTAGGGCCTGAAGACTACCTCATACTTCTCGGGACAGTAAGCCTGCCTTTAGTCTTATGCTCAATCATTTAGATAACCAAAAAACTCCCGCCGGGGCTAGGCCCTTGATCTCGTTGCCAATGCTTTTGACTATAAAGCTACGGCTAGCGGGTTTGGCCGACACACCCGCTTCCTCTCACCTCCTTCCCGCATCCAGGCCGTTAAATACGCGCAGCTCGCCGTCGCGTCGCAGCCTGGGCAATCTGGAGCATCAAGCTGTCTGTCTGCTTCTTTCTGCTTACGCTTATCCGGGGTACAAAGCACCGCTACTTCCGCTGGGCAACGTACGCGCTCATGGTTCTAACAACGATATCAATGCTCGTGGGTGTTGCATTGTGGGCGACGCAGGCGAGGCCACTGGCTAAGCTGTGGGATCCCAAGATTGAGGGAACGACGCTGAGTCCGCACAGATTCTTAGTTGTTACATATGTTTTTTATGGTAACCTTGCCTCCTCTTCCCCTTCTCCTTTCTGCTCTCATCCTAGGCCCGCTTTGGGGATGACACTAGAAAGTTAAACCCTGCTGAATGAATGGGATACAGGGCTCGGTTGCTTCACGAATATCTTCTATGCTCTTTCCCCAGCATACTTTCTGTGGAATGTGCAGCTGGAATGGCGCAAGAAGGCGCCTGTGCTAGCTATTATGGGTTGTGGAATCATGTACGTTACAACCATTACTTGCTCCGATTCCCGTACAGTAACCCAGAACCCCGGACAAGTATAGATATACTAACAGCCATAGCGTAACAATAGTTGGTTTCCTCAACATCGCATTCGCGCGCGACTTCCTAGACCGCGCAGATAGCACTTGGGCGCTGACGAATGAGTTTATCTGCGATATTATCGAACGGAACATCTCTGCCTTTGTTGCGAATCTCCCTGCTCTGTGGCAGTTAGGGAGAAGATTCAGGGAGTGGTCATCTAGAACGAAGACTGGAGAGCACCCTACTGGCAGTGACAGCAGTCGTTTTGGTCGGTTCGAGTTCGGTCGCAATGGGTATAATAGTAGGCTGGATTCTGAAGATAGGAATACTCACCCTTTGCGGGAAAGATCCCGGGGAGGTGCGGCTGGAGACCGTTGGTAAGACTAGCTGAAACAGGAGTTCCTTTGGAGTCAGCGAAAGAAGGTTGATAATTTTGGGATGGTCAAATTGCGTGTGCCATGTACCTCTATCTTACTTTAATATAGATAACCGAATCATCATCTCCGAGGACACAACTTCATAAAGTCAGCCTACGACAATATACTCTGTCTTAGGGAAATAACATATACAACATGAAACTTCGCTCTGTTTTACTCAAGTCACGCACCCCCGACGAATCTCACAACTCTTTCCCAAATCAAGGCCCGAACCACCGCTGCCACGTACCAAACCCACTGCGGAGCCCTATAATGGCTCCTCACAAAGTCATCCAAAAAGTATCTCTCAAGCTCTCCTCCTCTTATTGCATCCTCACCCCTACCCTCCGGCTCCCTGGGTAGAATCACTGAACGAATGTCCTCTGACCGTAGCCGGGGTAGTCCCGGATACGGATACAAAGCACCAAGTGTCCCTCTCAGCGGACGCACGGTAGCTAAAACACAGTCGAGGAGGCACTGAAGCGAAGTAATGAGAAATGCGTTTGGACTATTCCGATCTCGGAAAAATTTGTTCTCGTAGGATCTCTCGGCACGAGATATAAATCCGATAAGCTCCTTCTTACTCCTGGATTCATCTATAGACATTGAAAAGGGAGTGATCAGGCAAGCTTGAGCGGTACGATTCTCTATCACAGGATCTAGACATGCGCTCATTAGTAAACTCGCCAGGGAGCGATGGCCTAAGAGAATCGTATAGAATCGTGGAGTGAGAACGGTAAGTACGATTGTTGACGATAAGGGCGTTTCGGCTGCGGTGGGTGTTGAGAACTCGATGTAGTTATTGTGAGAATGGGTTGGAGATTGCAGATGAATATGGAATGCATCTGGTGCTGAGCGGAGGATTTTTTGTATGTATGCGGATAGAATAAGGGAGATATAGCTTTGTTTTAGTTTTATGGAGATGTCAGTTCTGAACATGTGCTATGACAGGGCTCTCTATCCTGGGGTGGCTCGCATTCATACCTTTCAGAACTAGTAGCTCGACGTGGAATAGTACCGGTGCGAGGCTCGGGGCGATACCAGATATGCAGTTTCCGCCGATGAGCTAGGAGGATGGCCTCGAAGACGATCCGAGGGTCTACAGCGAGGCTTAGTTAGTCACGACAGGCAGAGCGGCGGTCAACTGAATAGGACAGAACGGGGACTTTACATGTGAACAACCCTACCAAGCACCAGGGAAAGAGTAGACGCATTGCCTGGTATGTCGTAATTGAGAACGGGTCAATCGGTTTCTTGTCTGTCCAGAGCCGGGTTACCATCTTTGGACGGCTCTTCGATGAAAGGAGCGTGGCAGTGATATGGATCACTTCATTTTCTGAAGTCGGCGCTTGGCTCGGATCCCGCGCAGAGAGGGAATATTTTCCTTTTCGTGAGTTGAACGGAGAGACATGAAAGTCCTTTGACCAAGTATACCGGAATCTGGAAGTATCATCCCCAGGTTCTCGGCTGTTGTCTGTTGCAGGTAGGAAGTATAAACGCCGTTCACCAAACGTGTTGTTGACCTCCACGATCATCGCTCGCAGTTGGTATTCATTCGAGTAGAGGAACCAGAAGGACGCCGGGCAAAACTTGTAGTTCCAGACTCTTGGAGATGTGACAAGATATGCTGTAGGATACGAGGCTGGGTCTTCGCCCTGGAGGAGAGAAAAGAAGTCAATAGGGATGGAAAAGTGATAGCAGAAAACACACTTGCGATAGTAAGAAGTCATCCAGTTTCTCGCTGATCCTGAGCTGGGTATTGTGCCGTCCAAGGTGGTCTTGAGCATTGACTTGGAGCCAACCTCGCCGCCACCATGTGCTTGTATCGACCGATAGGAGCCAGTTTGATGGGCACCGTCTTATCGGGATGCCGACCATGAGAAACGGGTACAAGAATTGATGTGTCTTCGGGAATAGGCGCCTATGAGAAACTCGGCCCCTTAGGACCAAGGGCTTCTGGATCGTGAACGTATCCTGCTCCTTGGCTTGAGGGCCGTTTCGGAGGAATAGACTACATAGGTTCCGTACAAACCCCAGCAATAGGCAGGCAGTAAGAACTAAAGCAATGCCGTCCTGCATTGGGCGCAGTTCTAAGGCCATCATAAGAATTTACGCAGTTGACAGTGCCCCAGCAATCCAGAATGAGAAGTGCGAACAGATGCTGGCGTTACACAGAAAGCCCCCGCTGCTGGTTTGGTGGAGGAGCTTGTTTCTCATCACTTTCCCTTCTCCTAGTCGAATCTTTCCTCGCCACAAGGATCATCCTCAGAGCACAAAGAACATAATCAGTGTCTTACAACATGCCTCCGGAGATATCAAACCAGCAACACTTGGAGGCGAGTAGTCATTTAACGACGGAGGCAGACTCTCCCTCTGAACCAGTTACATCACCTCCCCTGACGTCACAACAGTGGATGCAAGTTTTGAATGCCTTTGTAGTATTCCTGAACACATGGTTGGTTGCTCCGTGGGAGCAGATTGTGTCCCTTCATTGTCAGTCTCACTGAGTGGCCTAACTAACTTGGTAGGGGCCTTCTTCTTGCATTTGGAGTCTTCCAAACATACTGGGAACAGGTGCAGTTCCCGGACAGATCCAGCTCTGAGATATCCTGGATTTCAACCGTCAGCGGCTTCCTACTGTTATTTAGCGGCATCATAACTGGCCCTCTCTTCGATTACGGCTATTTCCGGTCGTTGGTCGTGGCAGGCAGCCTGTTAGAGGTTTTCGGGTTAATGATGATTAGCCTTTCGACGAAATACTACCAAGTCTTTCTTTCTCAGGGTATCTGCATTGGTCTGGGCGGGGGCATGCTCTACGTTCCTAGTATTGCTGCCGCGGCCGCGAGCCTACAAGAGTTTCGCCGCGCCAAATTTATAGGGCTCATTGCGTCCGCCACTGGCATAGGTATGTCGCCTTGCGATCGTGTTTTCAAAAATAATCTCAGATTCTAGTTGCAATGAACAGGCGGCGTGATCTACCCGATCATGTTCCGCCAACTCTTGTCCAGCGTAGGATTCCCCTGGGCAGTCCGCAGCATTGCCTTTGTCGTTTTCGCAACCTATCTCTTATCCTGGGCCATTTTACCCTACAAGACTGTCCAGAACACTACCATCCGACAATGGTTCGATAGTTCAGCGCTTACCGAACCTCCATTCGTCTTAGCCATTATCTCCGCCTTTCTTGCCGGGGTCGCCTACTATCTCCCACTAATCTACCTCCCTTTGTTCGCCGAAACTGCCATCCTAGCCCTTCACAACACAGACCTACCCTTCTATCTCATCTCTATCGTGAACGGGGCGTCTGTATTTGGCCGTCTCTTCGCCGGGCTCCTCGCAGTGAGAGTTGGACCATTCGAAACATGCACTGCAGGGCTAGCTGCCAGCGCCTCTCTGCTCTTCTGCTGGGTTGCAGTGAGTTCAAAGGTGGGTGTCATCGTCTGGTCTGTCTTCTGGGGCCTCACATCCAGCATCATTGTATCGATGCCCGGAGCGATGCTTCCGTTGCTTTGCGCGTCGTTTTCGGTATTGGGGACAAGGACGGGGATGTACTGGGCTAGCGTTGGGCTGGGGGTTTTGGTTGGGGGGCCTATTGGGGGGCGTTGGTGGGTAATATGACGGACAGGTCGGACTGGCTGCCTTTGCAGATCTTCGCGGCTTGTTGCATGACCCTTGGGGCGGTTTTTCTTGTTTGTCCACTTGTACATGTCCGTCGACAGAGGGCTATATAGCAGTGGCCAGGAAGGAGACAGCGATAAGTCGCCCCTCAGAATTGTATTAGAGGTGGCAAGGAAGAGTTTCCTGGCCCTTGAGACAACTATTTCACGTCCATGGGCCCTCAATCAAGGATTTCCGATTTACTATGGTCATTAGTAACGATTTTAAAGCATTCACCACAATTGATCAACTCCGGTATGACCTCGGGTTAAAGAGGATTCGATGGTAATATAAGAGGATTTAAAGACGAAATGGTATAAAACTGACCATTATAGATAACATTTATAACGGAGCAGTTAACTGGAATAAGTTTAGAGTAGAATGCGCTAAAAGAACGGTATACACGTATTACAAGGCGCTATCTAATCGAGACATGGTTAGCTGATCAATAATTAAAATTGCATTTTCAGAGAAACGGAACAGAGCTTGGAGAAATGTTTCACTTGCTTCAGGACCCTCTATAAATTGTATCAGCGAAGAGTATATGTAGTCTCACGAAAGTAAACTGCAGGAATCTACTGGTTTAAGGCCAGAAGCTATCATTATCGGAGTTTATATTGGCTGAACCTTTATATAGTGGTGACATACATTATTTACTACTCATTTAGAGGCATCTTGATGTTCTATAACTACTCTCAATTGCAATTTGGAGGTAATGTTTAGCTCTATATCCTGGGTGGTTTCAGACCCATCACATGACCCTGTACTAGTATATCTCAATCCGAAGGTTCCCCACTCGTTATCAAAACGCTTATCAATTTCCATCCATCTTTTCCACTGCGTGGCACTTATCCCATGACGTTAGCTGGTCTTCTATGAGTGGTAACAATCGTTCGCCAGTTCAAACCACCAGTAGAACCCGTTTAGGGCGTCATAAAGCTTGGTGTGTAGATTTCCCACTCTGCCCTTCCACAACATACAGACTTTCAGGGTGTGGAAAACTGTACTGATAAATCCTCAGTGACCGGTGTCGGACTCGTCATATACGATGTAAGCTACCTTAAATAGTGACTCAAGTCACGACGGCTAACACGATAAAGGCAAAGGAGGCTCAGGTGGCAATTCTTGCCATGGTTGCCGGCGGGCAAATAAGCCATGCACAAGCCGCAAGGATGGCATGTTCCGCTTTGTTGAGTACACCTCTGCAGAGAACGATTCGGGGGATCATCAAATCCAGCCTAGCCTTCCGGCAAGCAACATTACTTTTATTAGCGAGAACAATGCAGACTTTGACAACAATGGTCAATCCAACAGCAGGCCAGCGGACCATAGCGACTATCAGCAGTCGTTCCAATATTCTCCTTCACAGGTCCCGACATCATATCCCGTCGGGTCTCAATCTCTCCTTTCGCCCTTAAAAAGTGAGTATGAGGCGTCTCTTTTCAAATACTTCATGACGTCCCTCTCTCCTTGGGTAGGTATTCCCTGACTTTATCGTAACTCTAGAGCATGGCTAACCATAATCTTTTGCGACGTTACGTAGTTTGACTACTGCGATCCGAACCGGCATTTTTATACATACATCGCCAGCTCTGCGTCTAGTAATCCTATCCTTTTGTATGCTGTTCTAACAGTGGCTGCTAGACATCAGCGCTCGCATTCAGAGCGCGAGCAATCGATTGCGGATGAATATCAACAATACTGTCTTGAATCATTGATATCCGCCCTTGATGACTCTGAGAAGACATTAGATGAGTCACTCTTTGCATCGGCAGTAATTCTTCGTCTCTCTGAAGAAATGACAGGTGTGTGGAACCTTGTTCTGAAATCCTGCACTTACCAAAGGGCATGTATTAAGTCGTCACATGCAGAGCCTTCTCCCAGGGAAGTCGTAGACTCCCACACCCTATCTGCCCATATCCTTGTTCGAATCAAAGAAGGAAATATCTGCACATCAAGCTTCACAGATGCAGCCTTGATCGTGGTCTTGCGACAAGAGATCTTCGTCGCTAACTTGACACAACGGCCGGTGGGGTCTTTCACTGACCACTGCAATATCGACACGTCACTGGGTCCGACTTCTGAAGCAATGTGGACGTACCGGATCATCGCCCATGCGGCCAAGATAACCGACTTTGTGTATGGGGACGTCATGTTCAGGACCAAGGATCGCTGGAACGATCTTATGCAGTACGTCCAGGACTGGGAAGACAGCAGGCCGAATTCCTTCATGCCGATTTATAGCGAAACGAAGAATCCACCGTCTAGTTGCTTCCCTAAGATCTGGTATTGTAACGACTGTCACGTCGCGGCCCGTCTGTATTTGGAACTATGCCGCATCCTCCTCTTGGCGTCTGATCCAGATGCCACAGCACTTCGAATTGGGCGATTGCGTCGTATGCAAGATAATGATGACAAGATACGGAAGTGCGTTCGAGTCATATGTGGGGTTGCTCTCACAAATCCTGAGTTCCATACTACCCGATCTATTGCAGGCTTGGCGATCGGGTTATGCGGCGAACTATTCCATGACCCGAGGGAAACTAAGGTTCTCTTGGATTTGTTATCTGCCGCAGAATTACATCTCGGGTGGCCTTGTTTGAAGTTGAAGGAAGATTTGCGGAGGTTTTGGAGGCTACCCGTGGTTGAAGCCTAACATTTGCTGTGCATAAAATGCGAGATCTCACTACGTATCGGCTAGAGGTGATCTTCTATCTAGTAAGACTTCTATCGCTCTGGCTCGTGGCTTTATGGATGACTGAACATATAACTTTCAATTGACTCTGGACGAGGAATATTAGGAGGCTTTCTTCGAGACTTGTCTCAATTGCTATCTCGATCAACCATGGCGCATCTTCACTTGCTAACTAGCTCTTTAGTCTTAATCTATGCCCGTTCTCCCAGTCAACTACCCCATGAATGACTGGAACAGTGTTCCTGCTGAGACTGGCAACAAAATCACCAGTTACCCTCTATGTACTGCTGACGATGCCGCCACCCCTCTTGCTGAGGTAGTCGATACCGCAGTCGAGATTGAGGTCGGGATCTTACTAGTCGTAGTTCCAGTAGTAGTCACCGACGACGCAGTAGATGTAGTTCCTTTCGGGACCTCGGTATTCATAAGAGACATCGATCCTCCTTGAGACGTCGTAGGATCAGGTGGGCCACATTCCAGCTCGCCCCTGTTAATTCGGAGGCCATTATCTTTGGGGCAGTTAGACAGATACAGTCAATATACTATTACTAGTGATACTTACTCACTTGAGCATGTTTGTTATTATTTTTATACTTGCACGTCAGGTACCATCTATCCAGCTCGGAGTTTTCGCATCCCTTTTTAAATGCATTTCCACTAGTCGGGGTTAGCCGTCATATCCATGGATGTGTTGCAAGGAGCCCGGGAGGGGATATAGATACTTGGTCACCAGTTTTAGGTTCTCTGAACCTTCTTCGATGGCGTAGCATTTGTTCAGGTCCAGAGCAGTTGTTTTAGTGTGTATTTTGCCATCGCTAAGGAACTCACAAGATGCATTTAGGAATAACCCAGTAGATTTTGCCTCAAGCTTGGGATTAAAACAATTGTAGGCCCGGCCGTTTTCGCTACGGACAGCCACAATTGTCGAGATGAGGAGAAGGATGCGGAGGAGCATTGTAGGTGTTTGTTTGGTGAGTATTTAGGCAGCAAACGTAGTAAGTAGGATATTTCCTATCGATGATGGGTATATACATATAGTGGAAGGGTCCAGGTCGGGCTATTTATCTCTGTCCTCGGCTCATTCACCACGATGGTACCTAAGACTTTTGTGATGAGTGTTTGAAGGTATTTGACAGTGTTCTTTATCAATGTTTCGAATACAAAGCTGTTTTTTTTGAAGTTGTGACGGTGGTCAAATTTCTGAGACATGATATCCCTTCGAGGATGTGATAGTGTGGTTCAGGAGATACAAAGAGATCTTGTCTCGGATGGTCTTGTCTAAAATTGAAGAAAACTCTGAGAAGCCTTTGAATTGTAAATGTGGTTGAATCCTCAGAGCATTCCGAGATAACTGCTTTTCTGCTTAACAGATCGCTATTGGTTATAAGCTGCTATGATATGACACTCCATATTCCACATTCGAACCCCCTAAGGAAGAACACAGCATCTCCTACCGATTCAAATACAATCTCTTCGAGCAATGATCATTTCTTTAGTACCAATAGCTTCTTGTGACTACACTGGCGCAATTACCATGGCAGCATGCGGGGACCCACTGCGTTTGCCTGTCTAGAGAGGTTCTACACTACCAGAGTGCTCGAAACAGCCCAACACCCCGTTGCGGATAGTTACAATCTTGGCTATGGTCTTATTAGAGCGGGTTTCATTGTATTCATTCATAACAAGGCCAGTACTTACCCAAGTCCGCGGTTTTTCTTAGAGAGCTAACATGATGCCACCCGTCTCTACACCCGTTACATGTGACAAAGGTGACATTTGTCAAGTGGCATTCGCTACAACAGTCGAAGGCGGCTCCCCTGTATCAGTTAGGTCAAGGGCTCAAACAAAGGCTCAAATGAGGGTCTTTATCAACAGCTGCCATACCTAGAGGATGGCTCCATTGCGGCGTGTGGAGCTATTTTGAAACATCCATTCAGGTCCAGCTTGCTCTTTAACATTTCTCTTCCCGTTCCTTTTGTGCAAGTTGCTTTTAAGAACGACTTGTCGTGGAGTTGAATATCTTTGCAGCTTGAGCTAAATGGTCCTTGTAGCAACGACGCCACGTCATCTGGAAAAAGTCCTGGTGTGTCTGCCCAAACTGATGCTACTGCTGAGGCCAGTCCTTCTATTCCACCCCGTAACTTGCGGCCTGATTCCGCGATCGCTGTCGTAGTTGTCATGGCAGTTGATCTCGAGCTCGCTTCTGTTTCTGGCGCCCTCGGTGATCTCATTCTTAATGTTGTCCTCGTTGCGCCATCGGTACGAGTATCCGACGACGACGATGACACCCCGAACGTCGTCTGAAACGTACTCGGCGGGAGACAAGCCATGCTACCGCACTCATATCGTATAACCTCGTCTAAGACAAGCTTATGTTGTATATCAGGATATAGGGATGGAGAATACTCACTGAGATGTGCCACTTTCGTTCGAGCCTCTTGGTCTCCATGCCTGCACTCACAGCTTATTATGTAGTCGTGCTGAGATATGGTGCAATGCCGGCAATCTTTGCCAAACGCGTTGCCGCTGGAAATGATTAGCTACATGCGATTAGACAGACACGGCATAGAGTAAGATACACACTATGGCTTGTACTCCAACCTGTGTGGGTCTTGGCCGTTGGCATAACAGTAGTTCAGGTCTAGGGACCAAACGAGTGATTGACACCCTAGGGAGTGACCTTTAATCAGTTCGAGCCAACTGCATTGCTCCAGTACATTGGATGTGGCGCAAGCAGTACATAATATTGATAGTAACAGAAAAGCAAGCATCGCTGGCTTCAGTACAGGTTCTTATTAGAATAGTTAAAATAGCTACCGGGCTCGGTATTTCTGGATCGAAGGCGGGATTATGAGCTGACTTGGGGTATTTATCATTTTCTCGGTTCACTTTCAGGGTGTTTCTATGTTCAAATATCCCAAGGGATCTTCTTTGAATGCCTCAAGTATGCGTTACTTTGTTGGAGCGTTGACACTAAGCCGCTATGTCGAGCCATGTGCAGTTGACTCGAGATGTTTCAGTATACTCTTCAGCCTCGTTTTCCGAAACCTGGACTTGACAGTCTTTGTTTGAAGCCCTTTGATTGAGACTTATCTCGCATACGGCGAGTGATGGTCCGGTCCAAAATTGGCTTTTTGGTGCCTGGTTGACAAAACTTGAAGTACACCAATCCCTTTCACCTGACTTAACGCCCACCAGTCAAAAAACCTTTAATCTCGCCTTGTGAATACCAGCCTATACGTAGCCTATCTCAGCATTATTACCTTCTATCACTCATAAACGGGCGTGAAATATAGACACGAATGTAAACTTTTACTAGATACCGTAACTACTGGCTTCATTGCAGGATTTATGCAATCTATGATAAGTCTCAAGAGCCTCCATTGCCCGACCCAGTCAGCTCCCCTAGATGATGAGCCAGTTTTGCCGTCACATTCTGCATCTAACGTTCGACTATGAATCGGCTAATTAGCTTCAGCCATGCAGGGGTCCACCTAGCAAAGCGTTAAATACTGCTTACTGTGTCTGAGCATGGCCTTGAAGCGCTAAACTAGTTTTTGCTATCTTGTGATGATCTGTATTGGTGTGGTTGAAGCCAGTGTTTTTGTAGATTAGCTCTAAGAATATGTGTACTTCGCTATTTGCTAATGGTTTTAGGTCTGAATGTCTTGAGTCCAGGTGACTCTTTATCTGAAGCTGACGCATTGGCGCTCGCGATCTGCGCCAAAGGCTCTGAGGAAGTAAGCCCGTTCTTACACACTGGCTGTTCGGAAATACCTATAGGATGGCCCGTTGTCTGTTCTACTCACACTGTAGGTGTCAACAGTTTCTGGAGCTATTCCAGTGCTTAAGTCCTGGCGCGTCAGTGTAAATAACAAGTGATTAATGTTTTTTTTGTGATTCTGAGCAGATGGTAAGGCTGATATTGTCGCTCTACCAAATCCAAACCTTTCTATTGTACTTACCAGCACTATTCTTCGTGCTATTCTCCTGAGTAGTTGTCAAGCCACCGTTTGATCCTGCCGGTTGAGCTTCTACTACGAAGTCCAAGGGTGAGCGCTGTGCTTCAAATGTGTCCTGTGATTCCTCGGTCGTAGTCTCCATCTGTTCGCGGCTGCTTTATTGTATTTGTTGCTTGAATTGACTCTCCACTAGAGATAGAGTTGAAAGCTTGACCGGCAAAAAAAATCGATATCTTTTGATTTCATTATGATATTCATTCGATGTCGTTCTGCGTTGGATATTGCTCCGTATTATGCACAGACTGTAAACCGTCGTATTTTCACTGTACCTGTAGTCTCGCACAGGGACAGGTCAGGTTTCCTACCTTTGTCTACCCCTCGAAAAATTGGCATCCACCTTGTGTGCAGGACTGTTCAACAGCGTCCTTGGGATAGACAAGGTCTCCATGATATGTCTCGACGCCCTCTTTATCTTATCGGTGCACGGGAGCAGTCCACGTGCCATGGCCCTCATCAGTCGCTTGTTCTGGATACACCAGGAGAGTCAAGATCGGCCAGGAGAAAGGCGATGCTTAGATGCAAACCTTGTTTAGGACTCAGGTCTAGGCTGATTCAGGTGCACGTGCAGCCGTATACTCCTGATCATGGTCCTCATTCTCAGTCTCATCCGTATCCTCCCACTCCCCATCGTCATCTCCTGTTTCCATCATCTCCAGCCCATCGTCGAAGTCATCAAGCTCGTTACCCAGCATACTAACCAACTGCAGCAGGCCAGCTTGTGTTGGCGAGCGCCAAGCCTCTGGCACCGAAGAGCTCACCGCTGTTGTGGCTTGGGCTGTATCGGCTGAAGACTTGTCATCAGAAAGGTCCGGGGCTAAGCTGACGATGCGGATGGCTTTAGTCGGGAAGAGGCGGGTGTGACCTTCATGTTCTTGGGGAGCCGCATCACCTGGGAGTGGTTGGCGCCAACCGAGTGCCTGCAGGTCTTGATATTAACTT